TTGCTTTCTTTTTTTTTGTCATAAAAGTTTCAAAATTATATCTAGTTAAATATATCAATCTTTTCTTTCATGCCATTTACTGTTAACAGTTTGGTGTGTACTTTTCCAGACATTTTCTATGCATATGCAAATATATCTATAAATATATATATAGTTAGATATATAAAGTTTTTTTTCCTGCACATTTTAGATGATAACATTCACACTATTCGGCAGCTTATTTCACTTACTAGTATATTTTAGATATTTTTCCATATTAAAATATAAAGATCTAATTCTAACAGAGTATTCCATTATATGAATTTACTAAATTTCATTAAGTCACTTTTTAAAGATTTTTTTTCATTTTCACATTTAAATCTGGAAATTTTTTGGCATATGAAAGAAATGGAGACTGAAGTTTATTCCACATGGTGAGCCAATTGTCTCAGTAGCACTTAAAAAATAATCTATCCTTTCCCTACTTGTTTGAAATAATGTTATCATATATTAAATATCATATATTTAATGAGAACTTGATCATCTATTAAATACACATATGTTAAAACATGAGTTTCTCTCTAGATTTTCTACTTTGCTTCCTCTAGTTACTTGTTCTTTAATCAACACCACGTTGTTTGAATTATTGTAGCTTTATAATATGTTTTAATATCTTCAAAATCAATACCATTTCCCTAGTTTTCAATATTGCTTCAGCTAATTATTTTTTTCTTCTATTCTGAGCTTTAGAATTATTCCATGAAGTTCCCAAAACATCTATTTAAGATTTTGATTGGACTTGTGTTAAATTAGCTAATTAATTAAAGGATATTGACATTTGTAAATGGTTCTTTCAGTTTAAAAGCATAGCGTGTCTCCACATCTATTCAAGTTTTCTTTTCATTGCACATCAGTAGTTTTTTGGCTTCTCTGTCTAAGTCTTGGATTTTTCATCAAGTTTATTCCTAGATATTTTATATTTTTTATTACAATTATAAATGGGATTTTAAAAGTGCATTTTCTGGCCATTATTAATAAGTACTGATTTTGTGTGCATTTCATAACAGCTCACTTTACTGAATATTAGTCTAGCTGTTTCCAGCTGAGCCTTTTGGATTTCTCATGTAGGGAGTCATGGCACTTGGAAAAAGAAAAAAAAATTAATTAAAAGACAGAAAGAGGATAGATGGTTTTATTTCTTTTACAGTATTTATACTTTGTTTCTTTTTACTTTCTTATTACTTTGGCTAGAACCTATTCTTGGGAGTATCAATTATACAGTTTTTCCTTCTGGTATTCTATTGGAATTTCACACACACACACACACACACACACACACACACCTGGCTCTTTGGGATATGATCCTACGTTCCCCCTCACATTTCTCTCTCTCTTTTTTAATTTAATTTATTTATTTGAGAGAGAGAGAGCACCGGCGCACAAGCGGGGGAGGGATAGAAGGAGAGAGAATCCCAAGCAGACTCCCCGTGGAGCACGGAGTCCAACGTGGGACTCTATCCCAGGACCCTGAGATCATGAGCTGAGCCGAAATCAAGAGTCAGACGCTTAACTGACTGAGCCACCAAGGCACCCCTGCCTGCATATTTTTTAAAAAAAGATTTTATTTATTTATTTGACAGAGAGATCGCATAAGCACAAGCAGGGGGAGCGGCAGGCAGAGGGAGAGGGAGAAGCAGTCTCCCCCCTGAGCAGGGAGCCAGATGCCGGACTCAATCCCAGGAGCCTGGGGTCATGACCTGAGCTGAAGGCAGATGCTTAAACCGGCTGAGCCACCCAGGCGCCCCTGCCTGCACATTTTAACACCAAACTCAAGGTCTCCCAAATGTGTTACTCCTAATATTCATGGCACTGTCATCCACGTAGTTGCCCAAGATAGAATGTCAGGGTCATCCTAGACGTCTCCCTCTCCCCCATTGGCCCTATCCAGTCACTCCATGCTGTTGATTGGACAGTACAAATGCCTCTTTCTGTCTTCATTACTACTACTTGCATTTTCAAGCCCTTGTGATCTCTCTTCAGAATATCCCCGTTGTCTTTTTTTTTTCTCGTTGCTCTTCTTTCAGTTTTTTACTCAACGTTTATCATGTGCCTTCCCAAAGCACACACCTAATCATGTCAGTGGTCTATTCAAACAATTTCAATGGTCCTGTAGCAAAACAAATTCTAAACGACTTAGGACACTTAATCTCTCTATCATCTAGTCCCTGTAACCTCTCAGCTTTGTCACCTACCATTCCTTTCTAGATGCCCTGTGTCCCAGCACACCAAGATTCTTGCCATTCCCCGAACCTCCCCATCCCTTTGCACAGACCCTTCCCTTGGCCTACAGAGTCACTTTCCTGACCCTGCTCATTCTTCCAGATCAAGTTCAAAAGACAGTCTGTGAAGGCGGCCTGGATTCCTGAGGTAGAGAGGTTTAGGCTCCGTCCTCTGCGTCCCCTGAGCACTTGGTAAATGTTCAGGCACTCACACATTGTACTACGGCCACGTCCCCTTCAGACGAAGAGGAGCCCCGGCTTGTCTCTATTTGCCTTACTCACGTCTTACTCTCCCACTCCCTTCTCGTCCTGCATCCTGACCAGTCTGAGGCCCTGTCCACGTGAAACCCAGCTACCACTTATTTCACGACTGCACCTGAACAGTTAAAAGCACACAGATGTGGGATGTCATATTATCTAGGAACCTTACTATAAACCTATGCTATATTCAATTTCTCACTTTCCAAAATGACTATTTCACCCCTTCTTCCTTGTCCCCAAACTTCTTATAATCTGTCTTCCCCTAGACCTTGCCTCTAATTCACTGAGAAAATAGAAGTCATCAGAAGACAGTGTCCTCATTCCTCACCATCACATTCTCCAGTTCCCTTGCATCTGAGCCTGTATCCTCTGCATCTTACCAGAGGCCGGTCCCTCCACTTTTGCTCTGGATCCTGTCCCCACCCACCTTTCCAGAGTCTTGCCTCTTGCAACGATCCCCTTTCTCCTCTCTGTCACCTCTCTCTGTCTCCCTTTCTACTTGATCATTTCCACTGGCCTGCAGACATGTCTGACTGTCACCTCTCTCTTAAAAGAATAATTTAAAAAATTTTAAAGATCTCTTGACTCTTCCTTCCCATCTAGTAACAGCCACTCCCTGTCTCAGCTGACCTCACACTAAAATTTCTTTTATTATCTTTATGAACTGTCTCCCAATTCCACATCCCCTGTCTCATCTCCACCTATCCCAAGCAAACCTCAGTCCTTTCTACTCCACTGAAACTGGTCTTTCCAAGTTAGCAGTGTCCCCAAGTTGTCCGATCACATTGTCACATCTGTGTTCTCATCTCCCTCTACCCTTCAGCAGCATTCGGCATAGTTGACCACCTCCTCCTTTTCGAAACTCTTTCTGGCTCGGCTTTCATGATACCTACTCTTCAGGTGTTCCCCCACCTCTCTGGCTTCACAGTCTCCTTTGCTAGATTCTCTTCTCTTCTAAACATTAGCTGTTCTAGAGAACTCTTTTCTGTTCAAAAGACCTCTTTTCTGCTCCATGTCTAATCCATCCAAGAAGAATCTCATTAGTCTATGGATTTAAGGACCATCTATATGTCAATGTCTCCAAAACTTAGCTATCCAGTCCTGACCTTTCCTCCAGACTCCAGACTCTGACTTGCATACTTTTAGAAGCATTTCTAACTTAATATGCCTAAAACAGAACTCTCAATATCCCCTTTCAAACAGTCTCTCCCCAGGTCTTCTATGTCACTAAATGGTCCCATTCACCCAGTTGCTCAAGCCAGAAACTCAGGAGATATCCTCAAATTCTCTTTCCTCACTCCCTCAATGCCCAACTGTCCCATCCATCAGCAAATCCCATTGATTCTACCTAAAAATACTTCCCCAATCTACCTCCTTGCATCTCTCTCTGTTGCTACCCCCATTCTAGTCCGATATGCCACCATCCTTCCCTTTGCTACTGCAGCAGCCTCCTGACTGGCCTCCTGGCTCCATCTCTCACCTTCTGCTAACCATGCATTCTCCACCCAGCCACCAAAACAATCTTTGAACAACAAATCAGAGCGTCTCACTCTGCCGGCTAAAACCTTCCATTGGTTCGCCATTGCACTTAGAGTAAAACCCTCCTCCTCGCCTACCAAGGCCTACAAAGACTTCTGTGCCACCCCCACCCCCCCACCTCTCCAACCCGGCCTTGTCCATTCTTCCCCTTGCTCACCCCTAGCCACATGGTATTCCTTCTGTTCCTCAAACCCCCACTCTTTCCCACATGCAGGCCTTTGTAGTGGCTGCTTCCTCTTCTCGGAATGCTTACTCCGTCTCACCCCCACCCTATTTTATTTTCATCAGAGCACTAATCCCAATTGGACATTTCCTTGTGGTTCGGGTTTGTTTGTTTGTTTGTTGAGTTTTTAAAAAATCTGTGTCTCTTCCCTAGAATAAAAGCTTCCTGAAAGTAAGGCTCACACTGTCTTGTTCTCTGTTGGATGCCTAGCCCATAGAACGATTTCTGGCACATAGTAGGTGTTCAGTAAATGCTTGTTGAGGTATGAATGAATCCTAGTATTCCTTGCAACTGGTACTGTTCCTGATACAGACTAAGTTCTCCTGTGTTTGCCAAATTCATGGATAAGTTGCTCCAACCATACTGTAAACTTCTTGAGAGCAGAAGCCCTGTTTTAAATTTCATTTTCCCATCATAGCACCTAGCATGATGCTAGGGACTTCCAGATGCTTAGTAAATATGCTTGTTTGATTTGTTCTTCTTCATAAAGGGAAAGCCAAGCTTTTCAGCTGTCTACTTAATAGACTTCATTTCTCTGCAAGTAAACATGTGACACAAGAGGAATGTCACGAGAACAAAGATGGACTGGGTAGGAAGCTACAGGGGTCGGCCCGCCATTCTCGGCTGCAGTAGAGATAAAAGGAGAGACTGCACCGTGCAGTTTTCCTCTCAGAATTCTAGTCACGATGCTACATTTCTTTCTGGTGAATGTGTTACAGGGCGCAACCTACATCCTGGTGATGGTGGATCCAGATGCCCCGAGCAGGTCTTCACCCAAAGCTCAATTCTGGAGACACTGGCTGGTAACAGATATAAAGGTAAGCAGGCCAGAAGGCACTTTCTGATTCATTTGGGGTTATAGCTGGAGGATGACTGTTCTGTGCGGTTCTCGGCTTTCACTCAGGAGGGCTGGGGACTCTGAAGAGCAAGGACTTCCGTGTCAGGTTGCCCCTTGCCTCCAGCTGTCACAGCCCCTTCCAAGTTCTCTAACAATTCCAAAAAACATCCAGGATCGGTGGTGCACAGGTAAATGGACTCTCAGGATAAACCGGGTGGGGAGAGCCCCAATTTGTCGTGTTTGCTGATTTCTGTAATGTAAATACTTCCATCATGGCCAATTTTGAGTTCCTGATGATTTAAACGATTAACTCACAAATTTTCTGAAAATTTAACAATAGCCTCCAGCGCACCACCACAAGGAGCCTGGATTCGAAGGCACGGGGGTGATTTTGTGCAGTCCGGGGGGCAGAGCTGGCCAGGGCGGGTCCTGCAGGAGCTCCTCCTCCTGATGGGCTGAGGGGCACAGGGAAGGCCTGGTGATGTCCTTTCCTTTGTACAGAAACAAGCGGCCTCCCCTCATCTGTGTCCCTTTGCCATCACATAATAGTGAAGGAGCCTGGCTCATCCCTTCTGGAGTAGGTCTGAGGAACACAAGTCTGATGCATTGTTAACGGGCATTATGTGGGGGAAGAAAAAAGGTTCTATTCCCAAACAAGTTTTGGAGACTCCAGGTTGCACTGTATTAATCCCATTCCTCACTGAAGGATTTTTTAGAGCTTTTAATATTCTAATGTGCACTATATAGTATGCATTTATTTTCCAACCTCATTTGACTATTGAATCTTGTGCTCATAATCGCCTGGCCGCACACTCTGGGAAATTCCACGCTAGCTTCAGCTATCCGTGCGTCTGCGCTGAGAGAGCTCGCGGATGGCCTTCGCATAGTGTGCAAAGGCATCAAGCCGTAAGATAGTGGGAATCCAGAACTAGAAAGACTAAGTCTGGATCTAGGTTTGGCCGGTCCCCAAACCAATGATCACCATTAAGTTGCCCGGAGTCCCTCTGGGTGTTTCATGTTTATCTGTAAGATAGGAACCATGTTACCTCCTCTGCGTGGTTGTCATGATAATCCAATGAGAGAGCATCCTGAGAGCACTTTGGAAACCATAGTACCACAAGTGTAAGGAGTCTGTGTTTTTCCTTCTACTGCTATGGGTCAGAGGAAGGGGTATCAGTGTGAACTAGCCACTGATGCTCCTGAGCAAGGCAGAGGCTCTCACAACCCCTAGACTGGGGGGCTTGGGGAGGAAGCTACCCTGTCAACCAACCCCTGCCCAGTGACCACAGGCCCTTCACAGGATGCTCAGGTCGGCAGCCCAACCTCAGAGGCAGTGCTGGCTACAGAGGGCCTTGGAAAGGGCTCCCTCCAGGGAAGCTTCTGGCAGTGGCTTCTTGGACAGTGCGTGAGGGAAAGCAGGGGCATTGTTCAACACCCTTCCCGACCAAGCACTCCTCGGCCTGGTGAAGAGCCTTGGAAACACCATAAACATGCAAAGGGGCAGATCTGGGGGATTTTCATGCCATCAGGGCAGGGAGAGGGCTGAGAGCACCAAAGGGAAAGATACTGGATCCTGCCCCAATCTAGAGCCTTGCCATTTTCTGTACTTGGGATTCCCTGGCCGTCACAAGGGGGCGAAGCTCTCAAGAAAGGAGTATTGCTCTGGACGTCACATACCAGGCTGTCCATAAGAGGGTTCTATGGGGCAGTTCTGAGGCACACTTCAGAAACTGTGGTGGGTGGAGTCATTTCAGCATCGAGGGCATCTTGGGGCCCTGAGGCTGCCTCTCTTCCAAGCCTGAAGCCCCCCGCCCCGCCCATCCCCTCACCCCAGCATGCACTCGGGACAGTGCCTCTCACAGATGCTTCACGGCACACACATGGGCTCTCAGCAGCCCAGCTGAGAAGCAGAGCGGGTGGCAGGTGCCAGGTGCCAGGTGCCAGGTGGCCCGCAAGACTGCTAAGCCGCAGAGCTTAGCAGGGCCACCTGCCCGGCTGTGGCCCTCAGCCTTGCCGCTCAGACCGGAGGAGGCTTGGCTTTCAGGCACATTTTCACCCCCTTTCCCTGATCCAAGGGTCCAGCAGGAAGCGGCAGCTCTCCTCAGCTATATCCACTCAGCCTGCCCACCAGCCCCCGCATTCTTCCAGCTGCATGGCCAATATAAAAACCAGGCTCGTTTAGGTCTCAGGCTGTGGACCTTGGCCAAAAAAAGGGAAGCCTCTCATCAAACCCAGCAGTACTTCCTTTGTGTTGGCGTTAGCTGTGGCTGAGTAGGTCTCAGACATTAGAGCGTGTTCAAATCCGCGGGTGAACGTGTCAAAATGCAAATGCCCAGGCACCACTTCCATCAGTGTGGAGCAAATGAGTCTCCAGAAGGGAGTTGAGCCAACTGAAGGAAGACCACGGAGCTCAGCGTTGGAATGCCTTGGTCATTGCTGTCGTCTCCCAACTGTGGAGCAATTTTCAAGTGACAATCACTTCTGACACTTCCTTTTGAGCCCCATAATCGCTTTGTGACGTAGTCATTATCCCCATTTCAGAGGTGGGAAAGCGAAGCCTAGAGGGGCTGGCTGATGCAGTCTCTTAGCTAGAGGGTCATGGAGCTGGGTCTTCAGCCCAAGCCCCCAAGCTCCAGATTGCACACCCTACCACGTGGTCGGACCACACGGTCTGGTTCACACCCCGTCTCAGCCAGCCACTCCGCTGTGGCAAGAGGCATCCCACCGTGCCCTCTCTGTCAGATGGGAAGCAGAGTCTCTGTGGGTCACCTACCATTCCAGGGCTCTCCTTCTCGTTCCCTCTTATGGATAGATGCTGCTAGGGAACCTCCCCAGGGAATGCTATGTTGGGCAATCAAATATACCTGGGAAGAATTTCGAACCCCTCTGTAATTTTAACCCTTGATATGTTAGGTTAAGAGTAAACCCTACCTAGTATCGCTACCCTCAGCAGTCAGTGGCCTCGACAGTAAGGCACACCATAAAGTCACAGCAGAGGTAGAGTGACGATAGCCCTGTGATTTGCAGTGGCCATGGAGGTGGAACCCAGGCTGTGATATTAGGGGCCCAGGTCTAATTGGGTGGTGGGCGGAACCACGGCCATGGGAGCCCCTCAGTAGGGACAATTTAGGGGCCATCTGTCTGGGTTGAAACAGCAGTCAGTTCTTAGGAATACAGGGAACATCTGCAGCCCCCTGCCCCAAAGGGAGGCCGACAGGAGTCTACTATTGAGTGGGATAAAGCTCTGGAGAAAGGAAACCTGTACAAAAACTAGAGAGAAGTCCACCAGTAGGAACCAGGCGTTCATGGTACCCTTCGTTGGCTGAATTCAACAAATATGGATTGACCATTGTCTGCAAGTGTAAACCAAGGACTCTGGAGCCGGACGACTGGGTTCAAATCCGAATCCACCAGTATAGCTATGTGACCTTGGGGGGCAAGATACTCAACTTGCATTTCAATATGCTCCCTTGAAAAGTGGGGCTAATCAGTAGTGCCTGCCTCACACTGTTGTTATGAAGTTCAAATGAGTTCTTTTAAGTAAAACGCTTAGAACAGTACTCAGAGCGCATAGTAAGCTGTATATAATTGCTGGCTGTAACATTATCCTTATTGTTCCTAAGTCAGGCACTGCACTGGCCCTGGGGTTGCAGATGCGCACACAACAGGGCGAATCTTTGCCTTCCAAGGGCTTCTGTTCTGGTGAGGCAGAGGAAGAGGCTGCAGCACAGGGCTGGGATTACAGGGGCACCAGGGGCTCTCCCAGGGCAGAACTTCCCACAGAGGTGGGTTCCTATCAGCTCAGGGGCAGGACGAGGCTTCAGTCCCCAATGCTGGCCAGACCTCGGCAGGCAGGGACTCCTAGGTAAAGCATGCTGTCCTTCTCCGCCCCCTCTTTGAAAAACCTCTAATTGAACAAAAGAGATTTCGAACAGAGCATTGACAACTAACATCTCGCTCCCCTCAGTGCCATGTCCTCCTCGGCTTTTTCTTTAAGATATTTTTCAGTTCTGATTCAATCTAACTAATAATCTTCGTGCTAAAGCCTAATTAAGATATCAATTAATTTGCATCATTCATTTCAGAAGAAAAGCTTATTGGTTCATCTTCTATTTGTCTCTGAAATTAGTGCTCAGAGCTTTTCATGCAGATATTTTCATTAGACTTTTTATTGTTAATGGGAATATTGAACACAGGAAGATGGTATATTAATACCTTCCACAAAGAATATCATGATTGGTGACAAAGAACAATTAAGGAGACAAGAGTACCTTTTTTCTTCCAAAAAAGAAAATCTTCCTAGAAACCGTCAATGATTCTAAAATTTGCCCTGAATATCTTTTTTGTTTTAAGAAAGAAAGCAAAACGGCAAGTTCGTGTTTCCCTTTCATTCAGTGCCCTCAACCTTTGGCAGCTGTAAGCGCAACCAATTCTGGGTGGAATTAAAAGGACCTCTAAGAGTCCATTATTCTGTCTACTTTTCTATAAGGGTTGAATTTTTCCATAATGAGAGGTTGTTTCTTAAAGGACCCCTCAGTGTGTTAGGTGAATAAGATAAATGGGAAACCAAATAAACAGGGCAAGGATCTTAGCCCCTTACTTTCCAGTGATGCGGTTAGCACACATCGGGACACTTGCTTGAATGATCGGTTCCACTCCTGAGTGATCTCAGGAAAGTTACTTGACCTCTCTGAGACTGCGGCTTCTCTGTAAAACCGACACAAATCCTTACCCTTCAGGGTTGCGACAGGAAAAGGAAATTATATATGCAAAAAAGGGGAAGACTCCCTAGAGAGAGGCTCTATAGAAAACGGCAAATTTATCCTGTTCCTAACCAACTGAGCAGCAGATCCTGTAGAAATTTAAATATACTGTGCGTGACGTGTGTGTGTGTGTGTGTGTGTGTGTAATACTGGAATATTATATATATCCTGATATTGTATATACTATGCAATATATATATATTCCAATTTCAATATC